AGAAAAACCAAAAATAAATTTTCCTTTACTTTTTTCCCGCTAATTTCCTACTGCACCCAGGCTAGTGGTGACAGTGCAGATTTCAGATGTAGGCCTATATAGCAGAGTGGACCAGATATTACATCGTCAAAATTTATTGCCTTGAGTGTGTATTTCTTAATTAGAAGACTGTAGCCATTTTTTCGTAATTAAATTTACCAATCATTAACATTCTTTTTATTTCTTGTTTTTTTTTTTCATGATTAGTCATGCCAGCTTAGTTTTTATGCAAGTACTAAAATCATTAAAAGATAATAAAAACATAGCACTATCACACAATCCATCATTCTCAAAATTAACATATTATTTAAAATATTTACATAACTCGGTACGATACTTCTTGTCTAACAAAATAGAACAAAGAGAAGAATCAGTAGTATTAACTTTTTCAATTAGTGTATTGTGTCTCTCATTTGATTGTTGAGCAAGACAGAATAAAAACATCTAATTTTAAATCACTAAAGAAAATCTGACAGCCGTGTCAGCCTTCACGTAAGGCATACATGAAGTAATCCATGATTCACAGATTGTAATGAATTACTAGGCCTACAAGCATTAAAAACAATCCTGATAGTCTCGTCAAAATGTACTAAATACATTATTAAAATAACGAAATAGTAATACTCTTTTGGTAGACGCGTAAACTCTAAAGAGATGAAATTGATTATCAACTTCATAATTAATGATGGGCTTTTAATTACATGGAAGGGGTGCTTTGTAGATCTACTTATAAAATCAATATTGTGCATCAAAGCGCCCTCTCGATGTAAAAGCCCATCATATAAAACTAAGTTCATAATTATTTTCATCACTTTAGAGCTTATGTATCGAAAGAAAAGATCACAATAGAATTTCTATTTCTTTGGATATAAGTCAAGATTTGAGGCGACTGATCCGATTAAATGAACATTCATCAGAAATTTAACTTTTGGACATAAAGAAAATATGTTTCGTTTTCTGGTTTTTATGAGTAAGTCTAATTGATGTTGTATTATATTATTATGAAGAATATGATATCTTGTTTATTTAGTTAATCTCAAATCTCGAAGGACGGTTTAGTTGTTTTAATTCTTAATATATATCCAGATCCAGCCATTGATCCCCCACAGCATTGTTATTTTACAAATTTTTTTGTTGTTGTTCTTAACAAACTACTTTCTCCACAGAATGCATATACACATTTATATATTTTTTTATTTATTTATTCTTTATTTCGTAAACAAAGTACATATAAAATATAACTAAAGACAAATACATAATATCGAAATACTGTACTGTACAATGAATAAAATTACTAAGAATAAAAAAAACCAAGAAGCTCATGGACAAACCAGCTGGTTCAGAACTAAACTAAAACTCCAAGAATATATTCCCATTTTGCATGCATTGCTGAGCCATGAAATGCAGTATTCATAATGCACATAATATAACTATTAGTAGAACTGTGAAGCCTATGCCAAATGTGGATTTTCTGAGGTTTTCCATAAAGGATAATAAACCACAGTTAACAAAAATGGCTGAGGCACAATTGGGGAGTGGTAATTTAAGTATCATATTTTCGAGCTGTTCGTCCCGGATAGAGATTTTGGCACACATCCATGTTATTCCTAGGGTTCATATTAGTCTATAACAGTTGAGAAATTCTCTCCTAAATGAAGTGCATACAAATCTTAGTCAGATCCTCTACTATTAAGCTCATTGTTTATAATGTGTCCAAGATATTTAACTTCCTTAACAAATTCAAGTACGCTATTGCATAAAAATACTTCAGGTTTACCTGTAAGCTTGCGCTGTTTAGGACATAGCATGCATACAGATTTCTTAGCATTATAAGTGATATCATGTTCAATTGCATATTTCTCACAAATATCAATAAGCCCCTGCAATCCAGAGAGAGAGGGAGCCATTATCACCATATTATCAGCATAACTAAGATTGTTGATGTTAAAATCAGAGATAATGCAGCCATAATTAGATTGGTTGAGGTTATTATTGAGCTCATCAATGTAAAAGCTATAGAGCAATGGAGACATGACCCCACCTTGCCTAACTCCATTGGTAACAGTAAAAGATCTTGAGTAAGTACTTCCCCAACGAACAAGAAAACACTGATTATTATACCAAACCATGAGGATCTTAACAATAGTAAGATGCATACCCTTGTTAATAAGCTTATAAATATACATGTATCGTATAATATGCATAGGCCTACATGTGTAATATACGGAAGCCCAGAGCATAATTAAATAGAACAAACATATTATAGGCTTATACAAACTGCAGAATGAAAATACGTAAAAACATAACGATGTTTAGTCGTATTAGATTACCGTACTTTTTAATATATACAAACTCTACCTAATAGATCTGATAAGTATTATTTTCTGATTTCTGATTCTGATCAGATGATTGATGGCTGGTGCTATCACCAGTATGGAAGTGTATCAGCACTGTAATAATAATTACAGTATATATATATATATATATATATATATATATATATATATATATCTGTCTCTTATAC